CAAATGTCAATGCCGCAGAGTCCCTCAGGCCAGAACCGACCGTAAAACTCCATTCAGTATGAAACCGAGAGCTTTCGGAGAAACTCGATATGACAAAAAAAAGGTGACAAAGGCGGGAGGAAGAAACGAAGATCCGGCGGAAAATATAGGCGTCGGATTGGGGCCAATGGAGAGGCGGGAAAGGACGTCTAGAAGCCCATCTAAAGGGCGAAAGTGCCCTGTCTACATTCTATGCAGGCGCATGACACGGTAGGATCTTTGGAGGTACATCGGCCACATGCAAGATCGCGGACGGTGACGAAAAGAGCAAAGCTCCCCAAACTCGCGGCCACACCGCAATACCATTTCCAACCTCGGAAAGAGCGTTTTGGATTAAAAAGCTTGGAAGGGTCGAGATCGGTGGTGAGATGCCGCAACAGATCGACGTGGCCGTAGTGAATTGCGACTTCTGCCAACCTTCGTGTACCCTCGGATTCAACAACCTGTTCCAACTCGTCCGTCCAGCAGCTCCTCATGGCCACGTGAAGCAGCATTTCGTTCTCCTTATCTCGAAGCAACCAGCCAACAATATCAGGCCGCACCCGTCTTGAGGTGCTCATACACTGTCCTGGAGCTTAGCTCGCACAGACCGCACGTCGCGGTCGAGGGAGGCCAGCGACCGTCTCCCTGTCACACGCGGCTGGGCGAGGGCCTCGACCCAGATCCTGCGGGCCTCGCAGGCGGAATCCCCGGGAGACGGACACTTGCTGGGTTACCGCAATAGCGGGCTCGCATCCGGCGAGATGACTTAGTGTTCCGGAGCCAGATTGGATCGCCAATGTCGCGATTTACCGCGGGGAACGCGAGGATCCTCTCCGGCGGCAATGCGGCATTGATTCCGGATCCCTCTTCTAGTAAAGCCTCGAACACGGAAACGTGGTTGTAGTCGAGATGTTCGGCAATGAAGGTGGGCATCAGATCTCGTCGGGTATCCAGAGGCGCCTGCTCTTGCGAGAGGAGCACCCGGACCATTTCAGCATCGTCTAGAACTACGGCCATCTCGAGAGTTGTAGGCGATGGTTCAATCGCGCGACAATTTACCAGCAACCTGACAATATTTGTTGATTCACATCCAGCCGCGCTCCAGCAAGTCCGACTTGTCCTTAATTGATGGCCCAGTTTCTCTCCTCTTTTGAAGAAATGCCTCATAGAGCGGAGCATCATCAAGGAGGAGAATCTAGGAAGCGAGATGATCTGAGAGAAAAGTATTGGGCCACTCCCTGTGGACTCGGTGTCGAAACGTTGTCTTAACTGCATCTGATACCAATGCCGGGATCGAACTGTCCATAAAGTCAACAACGCCTTTTTTCTCAAATGGGGCTGTCAGCCTCTTGTTGTCTCGTATTGCATTCAACACCTACTTAGATCCCTCGAAGCTGTGCCCCACTGCCAGGACGGATGGAAAGATAGCAAGAAGGATATCTGCAGAAAATCCATAGTCGTAAATCAAAGCGGCCAAATAATCCGGGCCAAGACGCGCCCAGTCCAGCTCCATGCCGCCTACTCATATCCATCCACGTCGCCGATGCCGGCAAACCACGACGCAATCGAATTTCGTAGATTCTTAAGGGCGAAAGCAAAGGTGATAAACCGGAGACTTTGCGCAGCATCTTTATCGCTCATAGCATTCCGAGGGCTGAGCGAACTGTGCAGGCGCAAGCAGGACCGACGAAGTCGTTGGACGGCGTGATGATGCAGATACAATAAGACTCCAAGCAGCAAGTCGTCAGGCAGATCAAGACGCATCTGGATGCGAAAAGGAGGTGGAGGGGGGGGGGGTTAAACTTTCAGTTTAAAAAAACCCTCAAACCAAGGGAGAAAACCCCCCCCCCCCCGCACTTACACCGGGTGTGCTTTGGGAGGTGTGGAGGTGTGGAGGTGCGGTGGTTGGGTCGAGGTAAATTGGTTGGAGCCACCTTCGGATCGAACAGTATTCAATTTCTCAGAAAGTTCAGTGGCAAACTTCATAGTAGTTTCACTAAGCTCCAGTCGCTGGCACAAGAAGGCGGACTTTTAATTGGAGACCACCATGGGTTGACGCCTACTGAGGAAATATTCACGTGGGAAAGGATCGACATGGAGATTGAGTCCATGCGGTCGAGGCCGATCTCGAAGCTTTTCCTACACGATCCTTGGTCACTGGGTAGATCATACCAAGATCCTGACCAGCGACCCAACTCTCCCTCCCCCATACTAACCTCACATTAAACTACACACACCAAATATGTACCGGACTCTGAATGAAGCACATGCTCATGCTCAGGATCCACATCGAGATCCACGCTGTGATATCGGGTCATGAGGCACTGAGGCTGCCATGTATATTGCATTCTTTCCATCACAGTTCATCTTTATAAGTGGGAGACGATTGTTGTAACGGTGGAAGAGCTGGATGGCGTAACACGTGGAACAGAGACAAAGTACCAACTCCCATAGTTCCAAAAAGGATTGCAAGATAGGGTACAAGCAAGAGGAGGACCATCCGTGATCTGATCAACGCCGCTGAATCCAAGAGCGAGTTAGAGGAAATTCTAGCTTGTTAATATCCAATCCAACCTGTGATGGCATACGTGAAGCAGGCATTGCCAATGCCTATGAAGAAGAATGCAACATATTTAATCAAAAGCTCAGCAGCATGGCGTACGAAAGGATCAGTCTGTCGTAATCAAGTAATGTACAATGCGGCAAATCAAAGAGGTTAGATAGTGCCCAAAAGATCGAGGAGAAAGCTTTTAAACTTGGTTCAGTTCTGTACTTGCATTGAAAGACTCGAGCAACGCCATGAAATCCAACATGGCACTTGTCAGAAGTATTTGACGAGGTTTGTGACGTTACACGGAAGATGAACAGCCATCGAAAGGGGTCTTGTCACCATGCTTACATGGTGAGTAACAGGCAAACAGGGCCAACTTTTGGGAAATGGATAAAAGGCGACGAGACGCGTGACCGTGGCGGAAAACAGAACGGAAAGTGACGACGAGGTCTACAATAGTGGACAAAAAGATGAACATGCAAACGTCGGGCTGTTTATACTCTTTTTTACGTCAAAAAAGGGACACTGTGCTGGAACGGGAAATAATTCATGACTTGGTGTACAACACCAAAGCTAACCAGTTTGCCGAGAAAAAGGTAGTATGTCCTTACTCATTCTCTCAATCTCTTCTTTCTCTTCCTTTTATCTTGTGAACCACTTTGTATACATCCTGGGATAATGTTCCTCCGCCTAATGGACTCGTTCCCGCACATCGTCACGTTCTTTTCCCCCCTTCCTCCCTTTTTCGTATTCACCTCTCGGGCCAAACTAGTGTGCAGTTCCGCCTCAAAGCGTCAGGTATCTTCCACATAATCTCCCACGCAGAAGCGTCCTCCACAAGGCGTCCGATACGTCGCAACTACTCTCAATCCTGAAAAGGCGGGCGCGCAAAACTCGTGGGAAGGGGGAGGACGAGTTGCACTATTCGGTCTCCCCTGGACGACACACAGAATCAGTGCTCTCACAGCGATATACAGTAGATGTAGGCAAATCTGGCCTTTTACGCGCTGCGGCGCTCCTCAGTAGGCCCCTTGACCAGCACGCACTTTGGCGAGGTCCAAGGCTGCGATCATTTCAACTAGTTGCACCGCAACTGGTCCGCCGTCATTCCCAACAGCCGCCACTAGGCACGATTATCACGCTCCTCACGCGTCGAGTACACCCCGGCCATGCGTCCGGGTGCACCAGGAATAGCGCTAGCACACAGTGGTGAGCAGGGCTGCAGACATATCTGGAGGGTGCGGGTGGTCCGAAACCGCGAAAGAGGCGGCAATTTCGACTGCAAAGGAGCTGTTCGGAGTGGATGACTCTCGTTCGCTGGAATTGCAAAAAATCATGTCTGAAGGGTGAGGAAAATTATGCTCGTTGGCAGGCTTATTAAAGTACTCTTTCCGGTACTAGGGAGCGATGTAGCTGGCTTTCTCTCTGTCGACGCCAGGTAACGTCGGCGGCGTCGGCGACAATGATGTTGAGCGAAGCGGGCATGTCTGCGTGAAAGGACGGGTAGAGGAAGAGCAGGTCGAGCAGATCGAGCAGGCCGTTGGGGAGAAAAGTAGGGAGAAAAAAGGAGGGAAGAGGGGAGCACTCTGTACGCGGCTGGGAAACTTGCCCTCACGGACGAAGGTTTGCGTGCTTGCCCTCAAACCCGAAGGGCGCCAGAAAAAATAAATTTTGTTACTGGGTGAGCGAGATGAGCGAGGGAGTGAGTGCGTGTGTGTGTATATACGGGTCACATTCAGCGGACTTCAAGATGCTGGGCTGTGCATAAAAGCTCGTGTTGGCACCCTTTTTTGGCCTTGAAGTCGAGTTGTACCCACTGAGCATTGTGTGATCATGTTTTTACGGTGCTTCTGCGTGGTGAAAGTCAGTCCACTTCCTCCCGACCCGCTCCTCCCCGGCGACACCCTTTCAACATGTCCGTAACTTGCTTCCACTCCTTTTCTTGCCCACCCAGCCCCAGCCTCTTCCCCCTCCCACACACTCAACCAGAGGCACAATGATGAATGCAACTCATGCCGACATCGTCTGAATATGGAGTCGAATATGACCCACTGTACTCTTGTGCACCGATGGTGCTTGACGAAAACTTACATGTTCTGAGCCACGTCTCAATTGCTGCGATATCTCCTCTCCCGTCTCCCTTTTTGTCCGCCGTCTGTCTCTCTGCTCGCCTTATTGCTTTTGGGTTTGGCTGACTTCCGCTTGTTTTGTAACTCGACTTACCCGACGTTCGAAAATGGTGATGCGCACAGTTCAGCCAAGTTTGGCTCCATGCGGTCTGTTTTAATTTTAAACCCTCTCCACCTCTCCTTCTCCAATCCCAGCTACTGCTACGACTTCACTGATAACCGACATTTACCGGCATTTTTCCAAGCCTTTAAGCATTGAATTTGGTTTCGTTTTGGTTACCGATATGGTTACATCCGGTTGCTCTTGATTTTCGTGGAGCTTTAAACAATTCCCAACTGGTTAAAAGCCAACTACTCTTCCGTTGAGTTACAAGAACCCACATTGTAAGTTATTACATAACATTTTACCATTGAACTACATCTCCAGAGTTCTGCCTTTCCGGACTGTTTGCCGCCCGCAACTCACGAGTAGCAACCGGCAGTGCCCATGGTCGTGTCCAGGTTTCGATCAGCAACATTTCAGAAAGTGCAACAGGCACGCAACGCATTTAGCGTTGACTCACCCAAGCGCGATCCACAAAGATCTATTAACACCGCAAGTTTCTGTACAACGACTTTGTTATGATTTATGATCCATTGAGTCAGAATCGACGAAGTTTGACTCTATCGGTCATTGACAGGCGGTTTGTGCAGTCTCCAGATTGTTTTATTATTCACCTAACAATTCTAGCTTTTAATGAGTGAGTTGTAAGAAGGTTGGTAGGTTTTTCAGGAAGGAGCCCCAAGTCCCTGTGTTATGACTGACTTGTATCATGTGTCTGGCCATTCACACTGGCCATAAGTGCCTGAAGTATTAACCCTTTGGGTATGAGGAAGATCGAAGAAGGGCCAAAGAAGTCTCTGTTTAGATCGGTGTTTCCGTGTCGAGACTGGGCTCACTGACGAAAGGGGTGCCGTCGGACCCGACGGCGTACCCACTGCTGGGGAATGGCATCTCAACAAATTTCAGTTGTCTACAGACTTGCTGGTGAAGGGGAACAATGTTGGCGGATTTTACTGCTGTGCCAAAAGCTGTACAACTGCAGATCTGGATTCACTTCCAACAAACAACACCTTCGGCTTCGGAGTCGACACATGCACCCTCTGGCGCGGTTGGCTCTACGGTGACGGACAGCAGCAGCAGCGCTCGACGTCGTCTGGGCCTCGCGCCCCGCCGCCGCCGCCCCCTGCTGCCGCCCAAGTACGAGTGACTTATCAAGTGACCGAAGCTGCCATGAGAGTGCTTTCTATGCAGAAGGCTCTCCCGAATTTCGGGAACGCTGGCTCGGTTAAGCTTTTGTTCACGCAAGCAATGACCAAGGCGCGCCGTCGAGATCCCATTGCTGACACACTTCAGTTGTTTCCCGAGGACGTTGTTGACGAGGCCGTGTCACAAAAGGATGGGGATCCTCTCGATAGACTTCGGTCCTTGTATCGCATGGAGACGGTCATCGACTCGCTCAAGAAACTTCGAGATATCTATACCGTCGCGAAGGAGGCGAGCTGCCAAAAATCGGCCACTTTGTGTTCCGTGGCTCGCCGGGGACAGGTTCATATTTTTAAAAGCAAACATTAAAAAAATTCTCACTCACTCCATCTCACAGGAAAACAACGGTAGCACGAGCAATGGCCGATGTTCTATTCAGGCAAGGTCTCATTGGGACTGATAAGCGAGATATCTGGGCTTAATTTGACTGGGGAGTACCTCGGCCACACGAAGAAGAGTGTTGAGGACACTCTTAGCCAAGCTCGCGGAGGTGTCTGCTTCATTGACGAGGCGTACGAACTTGGAAAAGGGCAGTTCGGCCAAGAGGCAATGACCGCACTCGTGGCGGCTATGACGGATCCCGCTTACAACGGAATGGTCGCGATCATAGCCGGCTAACCGCACGACATTGACCAAATGCTGGACAGGAATGCAGGGCTGAAGTCTCGATTCACTCGCTACATCGACTTTGAGGACTGGGAATGCAGCGACTGCCTCGAATTCACGCAGAAGCTCGCGGCCAAAAAGGGGTTTGCGGTCGATGAGGCCGCTTGGAGCGCGCTGGAGGCTGGGTTCGAAGAGCTTATCCGGCTTCCGAACTTTGGCAACGGCCGGGACGTTATGACAGTCTGGGATGCCCTGTTGGAGACGCGTGCTGCTCGCGTCGTCGCGCAGCCCGAGATCGACAAGAGTATTATCGCCGAGGACGTCAAGCCCACGTTGAGCGAGGTCCTTAAGAGTAAGCGGCCACCGGAAAGGGATATTTCTCAGCCGCGCGCGACTTCGAGCGTCGACTTACTGGCGCTGATAGGGTCGCTTCCATCGTTTGAAATGCAAAGAGCTGAACGGCAGGAGGAGACGCCCCGAACCTCACGGCGTCAAGAAGCAGAGGAGTTGCGTCAAGAAGAAGCTGTGAGCAAAGGTGGAACCACTGAGGAGCGAGAGGTATAGCCCAGGAGATTTTATCGTTTTACGGTTTTTTTAAAAAAAAAAAAGCAACAAACACGAAACCTTCTTTTCCCTTTCGCTTTAGAAAATGGCTGAGGATGAAGGTCGCGACCCAGGGGTGTCAGAGGCGGTCTGGCAGGAACTACAGAAGGCCAAGCGGGAGCATGAGGAGAAGCTGAGGAGAATAAAGGACGAGGAAGAGCGCCGGACCGAGCTTGCACGGTTGGAGTGGATGAAGGAACGCCTGGGCAAGATTATGAAGTGCCCGGCGGGATATAAGTGGTACCAATGCGGCGGTGGATGGCGGTGTGGCGGTGGCAGCCACTACGTGTCCAATGCGCAGCTGGAGAGTCAGTTTACGACGACGGATTGAGATAAGGGCTACGTGCTTGATTGGCTTTGCATCCTTTAGCAATACGGTAGCTTCCAGCCTCCATTTTTGAATAAACTTCGGGGCTGTTTTTTTTTTCTCGTCTTTTTCTTCTTTTTCCCAATGCTGTTTTTCCGGCCATTTGCAACGACGCATTGACGGCTCATTTACTTGTTGGGGTGTCGAGGTTTTCGGTGAAGCCCCCAGAGCCCATCAGATGTCTGCCCAGCCCCTAATACAGCCACCCAGCGTCGTCGCAACCGTCTCAGCTGGGTCCGTCGCGTCGCAGCCCGACAATGAGTCGTGGGAGATGGTCTTGGCGCCAAGGAAGCTGCGTGTGACTAGCCCGCCAGAGCTCCCTTGCCGGACGAACCCAGAGATGCGCCCGTGCCTCGCGCGGACGCGGCGGCCCAGGGCCAGGACACCTCGAATCGGTGGAGCGACGTGTTCTCGGATGCAAAGTACGCCCAGGTCGCTGGAGTACAGACTGTCGCCGCTGGTGAGTCTGGTCCGTACTATTTCCGATGTCAAATGATCACTCAAAATTACCACCCGCCAACGACACAAGACCCATCAGGTTTTCTGTCTTCTCCAGTCAGCAGCCCCCCACTTGTGTCGTCTCTGGCGTCATCGTCGGCAGGCGCGCCCCAGGTCCTCTATCAGGCAAAGTGCGTGTTCGACTTTTCGGCCGGCCGCAAGGATGATTTGTCTTTGGCAGTCAGCGACATTGCCGACCCCGCCCCTTTCATCCCGTTCATCCACCCCCCTTCGGGCGTCTTGCTGACATTCATTCATCCACCCAGATAAACCAACACATCACGTGCAGCATCGCAGTGGAGGGGGACGGGAGGGATGGAGGAGGGAGGGAAGGAAGAGGAGGTGACCATTGTTTGTACAACAGGGAGAGGAAGAATTGCCACCTGGAGGAGAGGGGAGGGCAGGAGGGGATAGGCTGAAGAAAAAAAGTCTCCATCCCATTTACCTAGCACCCACTACATCCACAACAGCCTACCCCGACAGCCTTCGCCCCAGCCGCCTTCCCCAATGCCCTCCCGCTCCCGTTCTGTTCTTCCCATCACCACGCCCCGCGTGGTGTGTACAAGGCGTCTCCGACTGCGGGACGCGACACGCGCGCGTATTTTAGCAGCAGCGGCTCCAGCTTCTTGGCGTCGTCGACCAGGTCCTCAACGTACGGCATCAGCTCGGGCCGCGTCCACCGCCGACACGCCGCAAACAGCTCGCGCAGCCGCGCCTTGGCGTCGGCTGGTAGCCCTGCGCGCCTGTTTATCCCGCCGCGCCGGGAGTTGGGGAGGGGAGTAGGAGGGTAGGGGAAGATACACAAAGCGAGTGCCGATAACATCTCAGTTCTGGCGCCGAAAAGTGGCCTGATATAGGAGTGGCGTGCAGGAAGGGGGTAGGGTGGGAGGTAGAGTAGACAACTGGAAAATGCGACGTACGGGAGGTAGATTATCTCCGGCATGCCTTGGCGTTCTCGGTCGACGACGTGCAATCCCTATAGAGAGAAGGGCGAGGAGGAAGAAACCATTTCAGTTTCAGTTCGGTTATTCCGTCAAGCAAATGCTCGCAAATAAGCAGAAATAGAACGGGAGGGGGGGGG